AAAAAAAAAAAAAAAAAAAAAAAAAAGGACATTGAAATATTCTTACTTCAAATGATTCATAGTTTTAAAGCATTCGTAGCTTCCATCCCATTAGGATGAAAATACTGCCCCTTCATTTCATCAGACTATGCCAGCAATACCCACTGGACATTTTATTGCCCAATATTAGCTACCAGCGAACAGCGTAGGGTTTACAACAAGGAATCAATGACTAAACTGGCCATGAATCATTTTAAAGGGGCCTTTCACTATACCAGCTGACACTCCATCACAGATGCAGTATGCTCTTTCCCCTCCTCTCTACTCCTGCCAGGGTGTGAGTCAGAAACCACCCTTCCAGCTGAGTAAAACTGGACAACACCCTTAGCCAGGAAGTACTGCTCCTAAACAAGCAACTAATGGAAGTCTGAATGCTTCAAGTAATTAATCTAACCCATGGTAGTTAAAGGTGTGGTGGAATTTACAGACAATTAGAGATTGCAAATATTGACTTGCTTAACCTTGAAAAGAGAAGAGTTAGAGGGAATTTATGAGAAGTATGGTAGATTATGAAGGGGACGGTAAAAACTGATCACCTTGCTCCTTTTCAGAACGGCCCATAAATATGAAAAACAAGTCAGTTAATAGCAGGTAAATTGCTGTCTTGCTAGATAAGTTTTAGCTGTTCTCCATGTAGTAAAACTGCACTTTTCCAGTTCAAGATCTATGTATTCATTTGGAAGAATTCACTCCATTCCTAAAACAAGCCACACCACGCACAAACAAAAATAGGTTTTACCTTTACAAAGCTCGGTGAGCAGAAGAAACTCGCCCTGCCCAGTATCAGATTCTTCTTTTCCTATTGATGCAGCAGAGCAGAACTGGACAATATTAGGATGACCTGAAAGCTTTTTCTGGGGATTTGTTCAAGGAAAAACTAAGCATGTCAGAGATTTTCTTCGGACTATCAAGCACAATCAGCTCACATACACGTCTAATTGGATGTGTTTAACATACACAACAGAAGAACCTAACCAGTATCTCATCTGAACAGAATGAGAACTACAGGCAAAGTCACCAAGAGTAAAAAACTCAATACCTGTTAACAAGGCTCTGGAAGATGCAGATTCTGATCTAGATACAGCTTGGTCTCTCTTGACAATGAGTGCAATGCAACAATAGAGGTATTTGTAAAAGACTTCTCCAGCAACTAGACTTAATCATGGACATCTGCTGACATTCTGGCTGTGTGACCAAGGCAGGCCATTGTGCCCTCCACACAGGTCTATACATTAGCCTGGGGTGCCCTTTCTGTTATGGTTTTCCTTCAACTAAGTAGAAAAAGGTCTCTCAAAAATCAGAGCCAAGAAGCTTCATTATAAGCAAGATTATAAAAAAGGAAAATCAAAAACTTTATACTATAAAAGGCTTTTTAAAATTTCACTTTCAATTAAAAAGAGGATCAAGGCTCCTCATTCTGGTGGAGGGAGGAAGAGAGAGAACTAAACCTAAGTGACCTTAGTCACTGGCTGAGGAGCTTACAATGTATCTGGTTATGTGTTTATATCGAAACTAGAACAGTGGGACCCTGGTCTAAAATTGGGGTCCACCGGTGTATTGAGCCATGAATGCATGAAACCAAGCTGCTTAAAAAAGGGTATTGGCCAAGGGTTGTGAGTAGTGTTCTGACTCTCGGGCTTACAAAGCATGCCCCTCTTGTGAACTCAAATGTAAAAAGTATGCAAAAGTTCATAAAATGTTACAATAACCATGAAAAATTGGTCAAAGTTGCTTACAACTGCATGAGAACCAGACAAAGAAACTGGATTAGTCTAAACCAGAAAGGCCATGCTGATCTAATCCAAGGACTGTTGAAATTATGCTGGTTAAAAAAAAAATATATATATATATATATATATATATATAGGAACCAGAAGATAACAGATCAAAATAGATGTGCCAGATATTAGGCCTAATCAGTGAACAAAATAATGAGGGGGATGAACTATGCTGCCCACTTTTTCCCCTTTTGGGGTTTCTTAAAAAGAGACGTGTGAGGTAGGGGAAAGATCAGTTCAGTTCAGCTCTCCCTCTTATCTCCTGTCCCACCTTGCATCCTCCGACCTGCCAGCACCGCAACTCCTCTAAGGGACTTTATTCCGGAAGAGAAGGCCGGCTGGCCTCGCTCTTGTTTAAGGAACTTGGTTTTCACCTATGAGTGCTGAAAGTCATCGCATCATCATGACAACCAGTCATCAGCCCACCAGCGGGGAGAGCTAATTACCAGCACCACAAAGGCATGTAAGATCCTGTATTATATTCCCTTCTCTTGTGTTATCTTCTGCCCCACGGTTTCTTTCTTCGTAGCCTCTCTCACTCCTGACTTTTCATCGAACCCTGAAATTAACAGTTCTGCAGTCATCCAAGCCTGCCTTGTCTAAGGAGAAAGGATCCAACCAGATGACAGCCCTGACCACATTGTAACTAACCAGGGTCAAAGCAGCAGGCGTCTTGATCGACTAGCCAGCCAAAGCGTCCACTCGTAACTAACCAGCGATCCAGTGTTCCAAAAATATCAACAAATGCCATATTTTACCCATCTTTTCTATCCCATCTCTTCTCCACCTTTAGTCTGCCTGCTTGTTAAGAACAGGATAAGTAGATGCCCTTCACATCAGGACAGAGTAAAATTAACCTTCGCCTTTTCATCAAAGAAAGGCTGTTCTGAAAATAAGAGGCTGATAGTTTGACACCAAAAAGAGAGAGACTTTGATAAGGTCTAACTAAGTCTGTTTTGCATAATCACTCAACCACAGTTTCAAAATAAACACTTCTTTTAATTTCTTGTTCTTTCTTGTGTTTAACCAATAAACTTTCAAATGAATTAAATGAATGCTTTGAGGTGTTTCCCAAATAATCAAGTAAAACCAAGGGCTCTATTTAAAAACAACCCCAAACCTATCTATCACAGTTTAATATTGGACAGGGAGTGAGTTTATAAAACCTGTAACTCTTCAGGCCTTTGAGACTAATATCCATACAACAATAGGGAAAAAAGAAGAGTTGTTAACTCAACAAGGGGAGTAGAAAGTTTAAACAAATCTTTATCCAACTGGAAAATGACAAATTTTCTGAATTTCCCCTCCGAAATTATGACAGACCAAACCACTATCTCACATTCCATGCATAACATTACAGCTGTTTACTTTAGTATTTTGGAAACATCCTTTGACTTCACAAATTATGGCTTGGCAATTAGTGACCTCTAGCCTATGATTGGTCACTGAAGGAAGGAGTAAATAGCAGGTGCAATCATTTATTTAAAAGGAAGTTTGATACCCACAACTCTTTATGATGTACAGTTACTTTGGCATCAGTTTTCCAGAGTTCAATTTTATGGATGACACTAAAATATTAGCTAAACATTTGAATAGACGACAAAAAAGGAGCTGAATAACTCAAGGGACTGATGTGACTGAAAACCTTTTATCCTGGTACAGACCAACGAGTTACAAGCCCAGGTTTCAAAGATTTTCTTCACTGGAGAAATACTTTAGAAATATTTTCAGTGTCAATATGGATCGTGAAGACCAGAAGCTTTCTAAGTCTTCAGGATGTTCATTTCTTTATTCTAAATATTGAATTTTGACCTAAAAAGGATACCATAAAACAAACTTCTTGAATGATAGCTCTGTTCTTCTCCTCTTCATTAGACAATAACCTCTGTATCAGAAAAAAGAATATTGAAAAAGGGTATACCATTTTGAAGTATTATAAACTTATAAAAACACATACATGGGAAAAATCAGAGCTAACAAAATCGTCAACTCTCAAGATAAGGGAGCAAGAATCAAAGCTGGCTTGATCCCGCTTGGACGTGTCACCGCAACAATTACCAGGTTTCTAGTCACCTGTCCTTCTGTTCATCTACATCAGTGGTTTTCAACCTTTCCAGACTCCTTTCAGGAGTCTGATGCTCAAGCCCCACCACCCAGGTATGACGCATGTAACTTAGCTTCACGGGTTCCCCCAGGCAATTATCCTGCTTGCCACCTTCTAACACCGACCCTGCACTTGCAACCCCCCTAAATCCATCCCGTGGCCCCTCTGGGGCTCACGACCCCATAGGTTGAGAACTACTGATCTAGATGAGTTGATGTACCCCCTGAAAGACCTCTGCGTACCCCTGGTTGAGAACCACTGATCTATATCCTCTCTCTCTCTCTCTCTCTCTCTCTGGGAGCGCAGCCTCTAGAATCATGCTTGCACTACTGCACATAGCAGTTAGTTCTGGAAGTTAGTTCTACAGCAGTCTTCTGGACTTCTGGGATGTTTTGCTACAGTAAAGAAACTTGTGCAGCAGATTCAAGGGAATTTTTAATGGAATTAAATATGACCATCACTACCATTCTTCCTGGTTTTATTGATGTGGATATTAAATATAGTGTCCCCCACACTTCCAATTTGCTACTGATTTATGCATTAATAAATGTAATTCCATTCTGGTGGCAGAGGGAGGAGAGAAAGACTGGAGATTTGGGTAGCTGTAACTTTTGGCACCTACAGAGTGGTTGTGGTTTTCTGACAACAGTGCCTCTCTCTCTTCTCTTAGGTGAAAGAGAGAGATGGACTGGGAGAGATAACTTGGGTGTTCTTGCCACTCACTTGATGGTCCAGTTCCCCCTTCTGAAATGCATTTTCCTGAGGATTACCCCTAGAGAAAGTTCATTCCCGCTGAGAGGTTGGAGTCATGCAGTCTCATGGTGAAAGAGGTTTCATGCTGTTGTCTGCTAAGCAGTAGTGTAGACCAGCCCTTAAGTCAATCTAACTTACGTCACTCAGGGGTGTGAAAAAGACACCCCCGTGAGCGATGCAAGTTACCATGACCTAAGCACTGTCCAGACCAGCACTATGTCGGAGGGAGATGCTCACCTGCTGAGATCACCTCCGCAAGAGGCGGAAGCTGAGTAATTATGCCGACGGAAGAGCGCTCTCCCGTCGGCATAGAGCGTCTTCACCAGACGTGCTGCAGCTGCGCTGATGTGGCGCTTCTAGTGTAGACCTGCCCTCGGATGAAGATCTGTTTATTCCTGCCCCCCTTCCTTGCCAAAGAATGGCCACTTGGTAGGTGATGGCCCATCGACTTTGAGGACACCTGGCTAGACGTCTTTGTTTGCTTGTTTGTCTTTGAGAAATTGGTTTACCCACTCCCCAGACATGTCTGATAAACACACTTCAGTCATGATTTCAGCTTATATTCATGTACAGTACTAGTATCCCGCAGACTATCGGACCACCAATATACGTATGCCCATATCAATGGACCAGCTCAGTGAATGGCGGGATTTTCCGTTCTTCCCTAGGCCAGACAAAGATACATCCTCTGAGATATATCTTTATAAACCAATACAAACAAGTTACTACTGCCCCTCTGACATGCCTAGTTATCACCCATCACCTTGTACATGTTGGTTTTGACAAAGTTAAGTATTTTCTGTGTCCGTTTACACAGTAGAGGAATGTGCGTATGTGAATCATCTGGACTGGTACAGTAAGCAATGGAGAAAATCCTTCAGCTCAGACTTTAGTTTTGTATGTACACACGTACTACAGTGACCATCATGCTAATGCACTGAGTCAAAAGACATTTCAATCTTTAAAGTGATTTAAACACACATTACCTTTAAAGCGTAATCTTTGCCACTTCCAAGATCTTGAGCTTCATATACAAAAGCAAACCCACCTATGAGATTAAGAAAAGTAAATTATACATTTCATTAATGTCTCTACCAGGTAAATTGATTATTTAGCTTTATTTTAACAACTATAAATAGAAACATTTCAGTTAATATTAGAAGTGTCTCTAAATACAGTGAGTGTATTCGATTATTTTTCAATTCCTAATCAGCAACATTAAGAATACCATAAATGTATTGGAAAGTTGGAATGGACTTCTGCTAAGATTCAGAGAGATGGATTAGGGCTGATTCATTAGCCCTCTACAATTGCCCCTTGTGTTAGCAGGTCCCTCCCATATGGCAAAAATATGGGTGGGCCTGCAGCCATACTACAGAGGTCAAAGAAAAAGCATCCTTGACATGCCATCCATTCTGGTCAGGGTTTTTTTTGGTGGTTCAATTATGGCCTAGACACAAAAAGAACGTCTCTGAAAATTCAAAGAGCTAAGGTGTTGCAGTCTGTGGGACAGAGCTCCCCAAAGAAAGTACCCAAAAAGTGAAGTGGCTAATGACGTTCACCGAAGTGAACCTTAAAATGATTTCAACACCTACAAATGTGTGTATCTTCTTATGAAAACGTTTTTGCTCTTTACTACTGTAATTAATGGCCTACAATAGCTCTCTCTCAGGATGCTAGCCAATCCCTAATCCTCACTCCTTTTTTGGAGGGCTCCATGCCTGGACACCCATTTAAGTTGCCTTGTATATGCTCAGGAGTAGTTCCCACATCCCATGCTTTTTATCTGTTGTTTTTCTCATTTTCTTTAGTCTCTTATTTGCAGGTTCTACTTTGTTTTTCTTTCTTCACCCTTTTTTCTTCATTGCTCTGCTCCCCTACTTTGTGAAGCACACACGTTCACAGCTGCTCCCACTGTTCACTTCCCCAATTCTCAGTAATAGCAGGTCCCCCACTGCTTTGCTCTCCGATCTCTGCTGGCCTCTTTGGGTATTATGCTAACCTTGCGCGGTCTCCAAGCCCTACCACAAACAGGGCAGGGAAATGGCAGCTTTTGGAGCTCAGAGCCTCCCTTTATTACACCGCTGCTTCGGGCAGCACTGCTTACACCACCATGCTCCACCTGGGAAGTCTGATTTCACTAGGGGAGGGCATGCCACACAAACTCTCAACCATCAATCCACTGCACTTTAAGTTTTAACTGGCTTTGTTCAAATTTTTCTGGCTTCACCTAGCAAATCATTCATGGGTCAAGTTTACCTCCGACAGGGAGAAAAGACAATATCTGGGTCTTGACACCTTCCACTAAGCCTCTTGCCACTTGCAGAAGGGCTTGCAGAAGTAACAGTAGCCCCTTTAGGAGACAGAAGTGAAGGGAATGCATTTGGACTCCATATCCAAAGAGATACTGAGACCGAAAAGAAGCCCAAACTGGGGAGGTTCTCTGTAGGTTTTGTTATACACACCACAGCTTGAGGAAAAGGACACACTGGCTGATTTTTCCATCAAGATATTCTGTCCGTTTACATATTTGCTACTTTTCACACAACTCACTTGATTAAGGGCTTGTCTACAAGTGCAGTGCTGCAGCGGCACCGATACAGCAGCACCGGGCAGCATGTCTGGCGCAGACGCCCTACGCCAGCAGGAGCCAGCTCCCCGTCGGCATAATAAAACCACCTCTGAGCGCGGCAGACACAACGTCGGCGGGAGAGCTTCTCCTGCCGACACAGCGCTGTGCACACCGGCGCTTGTGTTGGCATAACTCAAGGGGGTGGTTTAGTCACTCGTTAGCGACAGAAGTTATGTCAACATAAGCTCTAGTGTAGACACAGCCCCAATTTAGGCCTTCAAGCCCAGATTTCAACACTGCAAAGGCTAAATTGAATCAGTGTTCAAGGTTATTCTGACTAATTCACCTCATGACTGGGTGCTTATTTTCCACTGCTTCCATCTGGCTTCAAAGGGAATCTCAGTGATATTTCAAGTACACGGGAGAGATAAATTGCTTATTTGGGTTTTCTTAGCTACATTTTGTTATCATTTATATACAAAACTCCAAATATCATAAAGTGGAGTCATTTTCAAAACATAGATGGACTTTCTAGCATCAGTTTACTGTTAAAAGCATTATGGGGTTTTAAAGTAGCAAAACATTTATGTCCTTTCATGAACTAAGAGGGGTGGTTTGTTACCAAGCTGCCATTTGTTATTGGCGATAAACAGTTTTCACTCTCAACTTCTTTTCACAATGCCTACTTGGTAACTAGTTAAGAAACTGGTTCAGGGCTCTGAACACAAAACAAAGCCACCTACTTAATGGGAAGTGACACAGGAGTAAGTCATGGGCCAGTCTATTTTCCTTATTTATTAGCTACTTATCATTTAATACAATGTTCAGCTGTCTGTATACACCAATAGCAAACTATTTGTACGGTTCTAATCCATTTTGGAAGTGATTTCAATTTCTTTCATCTGTGGATATGCATGACAGCCAAAACTACAAATCAATGCTTTATTTGGCTGCAGTTTTTCTTCTACTGTTGAAGCATTTGCCCTGTAAGATTATAGTAAACCGAGGAAGAGGGGATAACAAAATGAGATGGTGGTGGGAAACTAATCATACCTCTAACGGGATCTTATCCTAGTCCCACTAAACAATGATATTCTCAGAGTTTTATATCAGAGAAGAGAAGGAAGAGAACTCCGATGTCATAAGCCTGTAATGTTTCATAACTCAGCAACAAGAAAAGAAGGATAGAGCAGGTCTAAGGAAGAGAGCAGTGCAGGAGAGACAAGAAGGAGTTGACCTGCTATCCCCTTTGACTAAGGGACCAAGATGCCAATATCTCCAGCCCAGCCACCTTACACATGCTGGAACAACTGCTCTGTGCATGAGGAACACTGCCCAGGTAAGGCAAGAGGATGAATGCATACATTTGCTTCATGAACAATCCAAACAGCTACAGTAGCAGGCTTTTCAGAGAGCTGGTACTCGGAACCCTTTTTGTAGGATTATGTGCAATCACTACATTCCCATCCAGTAACAGCTAACCAGCACAAGACTCCCACAGAGGATCCACTCATCTTGTTTTTCCAATAGTGCCAACAACAGAAACAGCGTGAAGTTACAAGAACTCCTTGACTCTCCCTCTGCTGTTGGTATCCTTAGGGAACTACTATATACAGGGGAAGCAAAGGCAAAATCCTGGGGGCTCAAGGTTGAAGGAAAGGAACGAGATGAGCAGAGGGGCTAGGGAAAAAGTCAGACAGAGCGAGAGAGTGAAACACTGGAGGGGACAGACAGACTAGTAGGGCACAGAAGAGAGCTCAGCTGAGAATATAAAAGAAGGGTGACAGACATAAGTGTTACCAGTAAAGCAGCTTATTCATACCCCACGATGTGCACTTGGACTGGGTCTTTCACGGGATATAGATTCCAAGTTAGAAAGTAAATCACAAGCCTGCAGCACAGCACATCAGGAATACTCCACTTCCTCTACATGCCAAAGGGGAAAGGGGGGCAAGCAGAACCCAAAGGAAGTGACAAGTTTGTTCTCTGCAGGTTCTCCTGTTTACCCATTTATGCCTCACTTTCTAACTTCAGGTTCTGTACCCTCTGAACAGAGCCCACAGTGTTTGCAGAGTGCCCCACGAGTAGGGCTCAGAGGCACTATAGTGATAAAAAACAAACCACCACCAGTAACCTAAATCCTTAATAAGCCCCCACAATTCTGGAAAGAGCCCTGTTCCCACCATCAAGTGCAGAGGAGATGAAGTATCAACTGGGGCCAGTTAGTCTCTTCCTGCATGGGTAATGGAACAAAACATGAGAAATTACAGCATGCCCAATGCTTCTGCTAATCAGTGGGTGAGACACAGTTGGTGCCATCTGGCAAAGGGTTCACTGTTCTGTAACTACTCCTCTTAACAGGCCTGACAAGTAGAGCCCTGTAAATCTGCGGATATCCGCTTTATATCTGCGGATAGGATGCGGACACAAATTTTGTATCTGCACAGGGTTCTACTGACAAGCTCACTACACCTAGCACCATTTCATAGAATTTATCCATAAAGAACATTGGGGAGGTCCCTAATATAAGCTCATGTCATACTCATGCTCACAATCACTGCGTGATGTGCGTACGGATGAAATTTAAGGAGGCGTGTATATGTACTGAAAAGATGTTTGAAGTGTGTCCAAGGCAGAGCTGACCAGCAAGCCTTGGCCAGACAAAGGATGTTGATTCATCTGTCCCTGTTGACCGTGTAGATTAAGCAGTGTAAGCCAACGCAATGGGAGCTCCATTTACATACAGCATCAACAGGAAAGGAGCACACAGGAAAAAACAAGCCATGAAGGTTAGAAGGTTAGCCTGGCTGTGTGCAAAGGCCATGAACTCGGGGGGGGGGGGGAAGAGGTACAGAAGGGGTATTTTTTGTGTTGTATGTAACCATTTCTGTTTCCATTATCCTTACTCAGTACCTCTTAAATCTTATGTGGTAGAGTACCTCAATCACCTTGCTGGCCTCAGCATTTCTCTCTCAGGAGGAGGGGGGCTAGAGTAATCAGTCTGACGCCGGAGGGTTTTATTTTTCCTTATTTACATGGTGGGCCTCAGACAAGGCCCAAGTTCTCTTGGGCAAAAGAAAAAAAAACCCCAAACTCACAGTGCGAATAGAAATATTTTTTCCTGCCCTCTCTCCACGGTGTTACCCTACTATGCTGGCTTCTAGGTGCCAGCCCTTCCCCAGGCAGCTGTTAACTGAGTTTCTTTCCCTATAGGGAGGGCAGACAACCTTCCCCTCAGGGGAAGCCTTTCCTTCCTGCTGCTGCCACTACCCCCGCTGCAGCTTGTCTCCCACCTCTCCCTCAGCAGTAGAAGACTTTTACAAGATCACTGGCAGCCCGTAACTGGCCTCAGGTGTCTTTAGTTTGAGGTAACCTTTTTCCAGCTCACAGGGGAACAGGGCCTTCACCATTCTAGAGCTGATAGATCTGCTCTCCACCAC